CTTTTTTTTGTTCTTGACATTCAATGAAACATATATAAAAGAAGGTTTCCTACCTCCTCACAAGATGTGTTGGAGGGTTTTTAACAATCCCCATCACAACGGAATGAAGGTTCCATCGCAGTTGCAATAAGATTGTCTTTGTAATTTACCCCTAAAGATGATCTTAGAAAAGATCGAATCTAAAAAAAAAATAAAAAAATAAAATAAAACTACAGCGCTTGTGTCGATGAATTTCAAATTAACATAAAGAACCTGACTAGACAACTGGATAGGATCAGTATAAAAATAAGTAGTCACATTATATATATCTATATCTATGTCTATATCTATGTCTATATTTATCTATCTATCTATCTATATAATCTATCTATCTATCTATCTATCTATCTATCTATCTATCTATCTATATCAATCAATCTATCTATCTATCTATCTATCTATCTATCTATATCAATCTATCTATCTATCTATCTATATCAATCAATCAATCTATCTATCTATCTATATCAATCAATCTATCTATCTATCTATATCAATCTATCTATCTATCTATATCAATCAATCTATCTATCTATCTATCTATATCAATCTATCTATCTATCTATCTATCTATATCAATCAATCAATCTATCTATCTATATCAATCTATCTATCTATCTATCTATCTATCTATCTATATCAATCTATCTATCTATCTATCTATCTATCTATCTATCTATCTATCTATCTATCTGAGTGTGTTCAATAGTAAATATGTATATATAATGTGAAAAACTACGACATCGAATCAGGTAAATAGATAAAATTATTAATTTGGGGAAAGCAAAATATTATTCCCATAAAAATAAATGGTAACTGATTTCCGTAAAAAAGCCAATGTGAATGATACGCTTTAGGGATGCATTGAAAATTGCTGTCATCTTTTATAGATTTAGCCAACATCACTGTTTAACTTGTTTATATTTGAGGCAAAGAAGGTATGAAGAAAAAACCCTTAATGAAACATACCGCAGCAAATTAGCTAAAGAATGAGACAAACATATTCCAAAATACATTCTGTAATACAGGGTTATTTAAAAAGAAAATAAATAAATAAATAAATAAAAAACTAAATTTCGAAAATGTAATAAAAAAATTGTAAGAGTCATATTCAACACATTGCTTGATAAGAAATAAATGAGTTTTTGAATCATGTTTAAATGCTCCATTTTCTTATTTTTCATTCGGATTTTGTGCAAATTTATTTTGTTATAATTTGTGTCAACCCTTAAAATGGCTACCCTACAAGGAAAGTCATTTTGTGTACTGCCATTTGCAAAGTGTAGCCTTAAAATAATAAACAGTGAACATTTTCCTATTCAGTAATGTCTCAGAGAATGTGTCTGTCGCTTTTTATTACATTTTCAAAATTTGTTTTCTTTTAAATAAACTAGTATATATATATATATACTGTTTTGTAATTATAATTTTTGTTTAAATATAATATTACTTAATTTTAATGTAACATTTTTTTTTAAATATACCTTATTGATAATTTATAAAATATATTTTACATTTAACTATAACTTATCTTTGGAAGAGTATTTTTGAGAAGAAACTGGTATTTTTTTAAACGTAACCTTATCTATATAATTTAAAAAAAAAAAAAACTTTTCATTCCGTTTTTAATTTCAAATTAACATATATATATTCCTTTCTTAGTTTCAAATTAATATATATATATATATATATATATATATATATATATTTATATATACCTTTTTTTTAATTATAATTTTTGTTTAAATATAATATTACTTAATTATAATGTAACATTTTTGTTTTAAATATAACTTATTGTTAATTTATAAAATATATTTTACATTTAACTATAACTTATCTTTGCGAAGGAACTGGTATTTTTTAAACTTAACCTTATCTATATAATTTATATAAAAAAAAAACAAAAAAAACTTTTCAATCCTTTCTTAGTTTCAAATTAATACTTCATTCTTCATATAATCCGAATGTTATGTCATAAGGTTAATATCCGGGTTTAATTTTATAAAACCTCTTCGCTTTAAGGCTAATACCTACCACTCTTCCCTGAACATTGCCCGGTGCCTTGTGTTTGCCTAAAACATTGAAATGGATGAATTATGTATGAATTTTTCGAATGCTACCGCCGTTAAATTTCTAATCCCGACATGATCTCAGTCCGTACACCGGTGGTGAATAAGTCTGACGAAATTTTCCTCGGTTGAAATAGGCCTCTTCCCCACATAAGGTCATTTTGGATTATATGGTTTGTTACTATTTATTTGCTCTGTTTAATAAAAACATTCAGCTCTATTTGTGGATCACTTTTAATGTTTTATATTTACACATATCCATGTGAATATATACCAAAGATTTATTATTTTTACATATATATATATATATATATATATATATATATATATATATATACACACACACACATATATATATATATATATATATATATATATATATATATATTTTGAAAAAAAAGCGTAAAAGGACTGTATTCGAAAATAACACAACTCTATAACTATAGATAATTACACACAATCTATACTTCCAGTTAAAATGTAAAATTAAAATCGTCCTTGTCAATGGATAAAAGTATAGTTGAAAGCGCTCGGAATTACAGAACATTTGTACAGTTTCTACACACTCTGTGTCCAGAAAAGAAAACCCTTGATTGAACACAAGTAACAAGGAAATAAAAAGCTTAATCACATTGTCGTCTTTAATGAAACATGTATAAATGAGGAATTTAACTAAATATATATATATATATATATATATATATATATATATATATATATATATATATATATATATATATATATATGATGATATTTTCTTTTAACAGACATGAAAACTATATATGGCAGCAATACTCCATGCAAGGGCGAATGGTAGTTTTGTATATTTGAAGTATCGATTCAGGGGAAAAAATTTCCTCTGCGGCACAGAGAGCCAACTTTCCTCGCGGTGGAAGAAGCAATTGACTCAATGTATTTGTTCCATCTCAGGTCGGCAGTCAACGTGAGACCGAGCAGACACAGGAGTTGCTCTCAGAAGTTGACTCTCAGACATTCTAATGGGGGGCAGGAAGGATCTCTATGATTAATTTTTAATTTTAATTTTTTTCATGCCATTAATTTACGCAATGCAATTATTTTTTCCCGATTTTTCTTACAATTATTTAAAATGAAATATTAAAAACTTTGGATATATATATATATATATATATATATATATACATATATATTGTCTTCAGACTGCTAGCTATTACTATTTTTAAGAAAAATCATTACTACAGAGTCAGCTTCACAGTAATTTTCAATAAATCAAAAATAATTCAAATGTTTCCTATAACATAAGTTAGAAGCATATATATGGCGAGGGGAGGGGGTGAGCAATGGCTAAATGTATGCTTTATAAAATGTTTTCATTTTTCAAAACACGGCCAAGACATTGAGTCCATGTTTATTTATAAAACATACAACAATCTATTTCTTATTTACCTGTTAAAATATCTAATCCTTGAAAATGGCTAAATGTATAGCCGAAAGCGTTCGGGTAAAAAGAACATTCGGAGAGTTTTTATATAATTTATCATCTGAAAAGGAATAGTTATTAGATCGCATGAAAAATCGTATAAAAAAAGCTAAATTAATCACCTTGTCTATCGTATTTAATGAAATGTGCATGAAAGAAGGATTGCTGCCTAAATACATATATATATATATATATATATATATATATATATATATATATATATATATATATATATATATATATATACGGGGGGCTGTATACGTGGAATGTCTGATTGAAATAAATTACAAACTTTATGTCTGCTTATTTGTTCATAATCCTTTCATATTCATGTTTGGAATATTTTCCGTATATTTATGTGTGTGTGAAACAATTCATTAAAGAGACTATAAGTATTGAAATTAGAAAAGAAAAAGAGAGAGAAAAGAGATGAAAACTTGGGTTTTTTATTTGGTGTCTCGACTGCATTATTTTAAAATCTTCTTACTTGATTGGCATTTAGGTCTCACAGTTTTACATTTGAACTAGCTAAATGCAACTTTTCCTCTTTTGAACCAGTTCTTTTCCCAATAATCATTCTCACCCGCCATCTGGAACACTCTTCCGATGACTTGTTCTTCTGCCAAATACGATGTTCCAAAATTTAACTGCAACGTCAATCACCTTTCTTCTGCCTTCCAGAAACTTCTCATTATCTCTCATTCCCTTTAACCCCTGTGTCCCAGTGGCTTTATTACCTTTTTGTGTAAACGATAAAAAATATAAATATTATATATATATATATATATATATATATATATATATATATATATATATAGAGAGAGAAAGAGAGAGAGAGTGAGAGAGAGATAATGTGTGACCTTGTCTTTCGCTTCTTAAAATGAGAAAAAACACATTTTTTAATCTCTCCCTATTTATTATGGTTGTACGCTGTATTTTCACGGGGTCGGCCATTTTCCTCTCTCATCTTGATAAAAAGAATATCGTTGATATAACTTAGTGTGCAAGAAAGTTAAAAGTCTTCAATTACTTTGAGGTGGCATTATTAAATACAGCATTCATGAAAGACAGAATATGTACAAATAAACTTGTATCCGTGTATGAAATTCTAATGCGTATGTATATATGACTTGTACTTTGTCCTTTTCATGCAATGAAAATTCACCTCCACGCCCTCTTCGCTTCTTTCTTGACGAATCCTTCTAAGCGCCAATGTAATAAAAGAAAATCTTGCTCATGCCAACTCCATTAACAATAATTCGAAATTTCAAATTACGCCAATGATTAATTATTCTATTATGATTAATTTTCGAACATCGCTTGCAGCAACTTTAATCTGCTGACACTGTGAAATTAAACAAGAAAAGGGGAGATAACTTAATTAACCTTGTTGGCTATTGTCAGCTGCCATCTTGTGTGATCGGCTCAGAATGCGACAGTCAGAAAACCGAATCTGGGCCGCTTTTCAACGTCGTGATTGTGAGGCCGCTTGTTCGTCTTCAGATGTGGGCGGGCGGGCAGCTGTAATTGAACGATATTGTCATTTCTGGTTACGGTTTTTGTTTTGTTAATCTTTTTTTTTTTCTTCTTCTACTTTTTCTTCTAGACGTTTGATTGAGCTAGGATTTTTAACGTCTCGTGAGCTCGGCAGTTTTCACACTCGGCTTCTGTTTCTTAAACACCGAGGCAGTTGTTTTAAATGCGGATCCTCAACTTTTTTTTTTTTTCTGTTTTGATCACAACGTTAAAATCATTTTGCCCTCTGGCCATCATCTGCATGGATGTCGATCCGAGTGACCTTCACGTAATATGGAACATTAAATTTACGGGGGTAAATTGTTGTCGTTCCGCAGAACACATCGAGGGATATCTCGCAAAATTCATATTTAATACTGCTTAGTTGGAGCACATCCCGTTACCACTTGGACTAAGTACACGCTGGTTGGTTCGGTTCTAAATACTATTGCACGAACCGTAGAAATAAAGCTAGGAATAACTAAGAATTATTAAAACAATTAGACAGGATATCTTAAGACACGACACAAGGCCGGAAGTGGGGCACCCAGTAAAAATAGAACTCACTACTCAGTCGTTATTTAGCGATACTAGCTTGTTAACCATTACTATGGTGAAATGCCCGATATTAATTTAGACATGGTGATTTTCTACGCGTAGCTTTGATGATGCAAAAAAAAAAAAATCGTTGTTCACTGTTTACATTATTCGGACTATTGTCCTCATCTTTGTCGCCAGATTTATTACAACGGTTCGGCCGTTGTACGCTCCAGCCTTCTTCAGGTGGTTGGAATGTCGAACTGGACCCTTTATTTCGCTCACTGGAGTATCCTGTTCTAGTTCCACGTGCCATGTTTAATGGATGTCAATTATCAGTTATCACCTGATAATTCCCCTCTTTCTTCTCTTGTAGTCCTCGTCTTTTTTTTGTCTTTTTTTTTTTTTTTTTATTTGTCTTTCTTTCAGTCCTGTAAAGAATTTTCTTCTATCCCATACTTTTTTTATCAATATTTTTCTTTCTTTTTCGCCTGTTCTTAAACTTTTCTTTTTCTTTTCTTTCTTTCTTTTCTTTCTTTTTTGTATCGGTCATTTTCTTTTTTTGCAGCATTTCTTTCTTTTCAGCCTTTCTTTCTTTTCTTTCTTTCTTTTTTTTTTTTCTTTCTTTTCTTTTTTTTCTTTTGTCTTCAGTGTTTTTTTATTTCTTTGTTTGTCTTTTTCTTTTTTTTCTTTCTTTCTTTTTTTTCTTTCTTCTTTCCATCCCATTTTTTTTTTTTTTTTTGTTTTTTCGCTTTTCTTCGCTTTTAATTTTCTTTTTCTTTCTTTTTTCTTTTTTTTCATTTTCTTCTATCCCATCCTTTTTTTTTTTTTTTTTAATTTTTTCGCCTATATTTATTTTTTTTTCTTTTCGAACATTTTTCTTCTTTTTTCTTTTCTTTTTTTCTTTCTTTTCTTTTTTTTGTATTTACCAAGTTTTTCTTTCTTTTTTTCTTTCAGCATTCATTTCTTTCTTTCTCAGCCCTTTTCTTTCTTTCTTTCTTTCTTTTTCTTTCTGTTTTTCTTTCTTTTTCTTTCTTTCTTTTTTTTCTTTTCTTTCTTTCTTTCTTTCTTTTCTTTTTTCTTTCTTTTCTTGTAGTCCTCTTTTTGTTTGCTTTTTTCTTCTTTGTTTCTTTTTCTTTTTTCTTTCTTTCTTTTTTTTTCTTTCTTTTTTTATTTGTTTCTTTCAAAGTTCTTTTCTTTCTTTTCTTTCTTTTCTTTCTTTCAATTTTCTTTCTTTTCTTTTATTTCCTTTTTTTTCTTTCCTTTCTTTTCGCCTTTTTCTTTTCTTTCTTTCTTTCTTTCTTTCTTTCTTTTTTTTTCTTTCTTTCTTCATTTTCCATTATTTTTTTTTTTTTTTTTTTGCCTTTTCTTTTTTTTTCAGCCTTTCTTTCTTTTTTTTCTTTTCTTTCTTTCTTTCTTTTTTCTTTCTTTCTTTCTTTCTTCTTTGTTTATCTTTCTTTCTTTTCTTTTTCTTTTTTCTTTTTTTCTTTCTTCCTTTTTTTATATGGATATTCATTTCTTTTTTCTTTTTTATTTTTTTTTTCTTCTCAGCCCTTTTCTTTCTTTTCTTTCTTTTCTTTCTTTCTTTCATCATGCCATTCTTTCTTTTTTATTTTTCTTTTTTCTTTCTTTCAACGGTTTAGCTTTATTTTTCTTTTCAATTCATATTTTTCCTTAGTCCCTATTCTTTTTGTTTCTTTTTTTTTTTCTTTCTTTCTTTATCATTTTCTATCCCTTACTTTTTTTATTTGTTTTTTTCCTTTTTTTTGATATTTTTTTTTCTTTCTTTCTTTCATTTTCTTTCTTTCTTTCTTTCTTTTCATATCCATCCTTTTTTTTTTTTATTTGTCTTTTTTTTTGAACCTTGCTTTCTTTCTTTCTTCCTTTCTTTCTTTCTTTCTTTCTTTTCTTTCTTTCTATCCCATCCTTTTTTTTATTTGTTTCTTTCTTTTTTTCTTTCTTTCTTTCTTTCTTTCTTTCTTTCTTTCTTTTTTTTTTCTTCTTTTGTTCTTTTTTTTCTTTTTTTTTTTTCTTTTTTTTTTTCAGCCTTTTCCTTCTATCTCAGCTTTTTCATCCTTTTTTTTCTTTTTTTATTTGTTTTTTCTTTGGGGTTGTAGTCCTTCTTTTTGTTTGTCTCTTTCTTTCTTTCTTTCTTTCTTTCTTTCTTTCTTTCTTCTATCCCATCCTTTTTTTTATTTGTTTCTTTCTTTTTCGCCTGTACTTTCTTTCTTTCTTTCTTTCTTTCTTTCTTTCTTTCTTTCTTTTGTATCGGTCATTTTCTTTCTTTTGCCGCAGCATTTCTTTCTTTCTCAGCCTTTTCCTTCTATCTCAGCCCTTTCTTTCTTTCTTTCTTTCTTTCTTTCTTTCTTTCTTTCTTTCTTTCTTTCTTTCTTCTCTTGTAGTCCTCTTCTTTGTTTGTCTCTTTCTTTCTTTCTTTCTTTCTTTTATTTCTTTCTTTCAGTCCTGTTCTTTCTTCTATCCCATCCTTTTTTTTATTTGTTTGTTTCTTTCTTTTTCGCCTGTTTTTTCTTTCTTTCTTTCTTAGTTTCTCTCTAATTCCCCTCTCCAAGTTTTCCACCGCCTTAACCTGGTATTGAACTCACACTCTTTGGGTCCTATCACTGGATCCTACTAACGCCTTTGCTATGTGTCCTTGAGGACAGCTCTGCATGAATTTCTGGGTGTTATAAACCTAATGTCTTCAGCAATCATTTTTTACCAGTACTCATATTGCAATTTTCCTGTTATTAATACATGTTTTTACCAGAGCTCATATTGCAATATTTGTTGTTATTATCGCTTTTCTCTGGTATTCCTTATTACTGGTTCCCATATTATATTCATTTCTATGCTTGGTCAGCTCAGGAGATTTTTGTGACCTAGCGTATGTGCTGATTCTTTAATTTACGAAGTTTCCAAAGGTCATAGACAAAGATGTCTATGATGTTAACCTGATCTCACAGATGAGGACAATTGTCCAAATAATGTAAATAGTGTACGTAATACGTCATCTCAGAAACCTCGTTGTTGTTCAGATGTTCGGTCCATGCTATCCTCAGTATCTTAATGTAGACCTACATTTCTGTTGCTTCAAGTCTCATTGTCATATTTGAGATTGTCCAGTATTCACTGCCACGTAGGAGGACAGATATCACGTCATAGTTCCGCATTCTTTGCTTTGTTTCTAACGAAGATTTCCAGTCTCTTAAAACTCTTTTTCGCCTTTAGAATCCGTCTTGAGCTATCCCAATACGACTTCGGATCTCAGTGTCACACTATCCGTCTTCTGTTAGAAAAATTACAAACAGTATCAAACGCAGAGAAACCATAAGAATTATTTAAAAACATGCCATAATGTCTAAAGAAAGATAAAAAGGCTGCAAAACTAATTACAAGCTGACTTATGATCAGATCGATTTACGATGTGTCGGTCGTAACTAGTTGTTGGCTACACGTTCCAGCCTTGATGCAGTTTAGAATCCTTTGCGCGATATGGTAGGATATTTCATACGTTCAGGGGTGCCTCTTTTTAAAACCTCCATTCTAGAGACCTCTTCACGTTCCCACATTCACGCATAGCTATGCTTCTTCAGAATCGACTCTCTCCTATGGTACCTCTGCTGCTATTTACAAGGTAAGATTCATTTCCTACTTCTCGCTAAAGGAATCCTGTTCCGGCTTATTGCTTTCTTCCTTTTAGTCAAGCCTGTACGAATATTATGTTGCTGTTCAGCAATGAATTTGATTTTCAAATATTCAAATGCAATGTCAATCACTATGTTCTGTATTCTTACTGACTGCATCCATTGTTCTGATTGATATTAATCCCCTGCGCGATATTGGCTTTCTTGCCTTGCGCAGGTTGACTATATATATATATATATAAACTTTTCGAACGCGGGTAAAGGTACAAGACAAACAACAAAGACACAGACTAGTCTCTTCATATTTATCTATCTATGCATCTCTTTGATTTCTGTCTATGTCTTTTTATGTCTATCTATCTATCTATATCTATCTATCTATCTATCTATCTATCTATCTATCTGTTTTTCATCTCTATCTAGGTCTTTTCATCCCTATCTATCTATCTATATCTATCTATCTATCTATATCTTTTCATCTGTATTTATTTATCTTACCTATTTCTCTGTATATATATATATATATATATATATATATATATATATATATATATATATTCGCACACGCCCTGAAAGCAGTAAGAAGTGGTTTTTATTGCCGTACCTTTGACTGACATGATTAAAAATATTCAGATGCAATCCATTCTTTACCGGTTTTCGACGTTTACACCTTGTACTCATCATGTTACAACCACGGTCTTGAATCAGCCACATTTCCTCTGTATTATATTCGTATGGAGAAAGCTGTTTTTTTTTTTTACGAATATTAGCACAGCGGCGACTTTGTTCTTTAACAAAATACTTCGTTAGGTGTGTAACTAAAAATACATATCTCTATGGAGAATCATTTCAAGTTCTCATTTCTGGTGAACTTTTGTATGAATAAAACTCGGGAACGAGTTTCAATTTCTGCTTAACTTTACATTTTAACGATGTGCTCGTCGGGACACAACTCTATCTTACGTATGTATAGAGCAAATCCGCAATTATCCTTAGTACGTGGAAGGACCAGACTGAGTCAAGCTGTGTAGCTATCAATACTGAACATCCGCGCTTTTAACAAACCACGTATAAAACTGCAGGAAATAGTTTCTTTCACTACCGCCTAATGGCGAAAAAAAAAAAGTCTGGTTTTAGAGATTTTTTTAAAAATTTATTCGCCGTCCGAGAGTTTTCCCACGTCTACAATTTCTGTACAATTTTCCTTTCATTATCAGCTGTCCTACCATCGGTCGGCTATCCCATAATTCCTCAGCTTTCCGGTCATCCCTCAGTTGCCCCGTCATCCCTCAACATCTTTCAAATATTTAACCAGCTGCCATTTTGTTTACATTCGATACTCCATTCTTTCCTTGCAAAACGATTTCCATTTTCAATTTCACCCGGCCAGTCGATCACACTGATTTAAATCAGTGTTCGCCAATCGTCAAAGGACTTCGTAATTCGATTGAAAACATCAATATTCGGTATTCGATGTTCCAGCGAGAGTTCCATTGGCAATAGAATTGTCTGAATTAATATTATTTTTCAAATCGCAGAGGAAATGATTTTATGCATACAATTAACTGTTTTTTTACTGCCTGCATGCATCTATCTATCTATCTATCTATCTATCTATCTATTTAATTCTTTCTCTCTACTTATATTTCAGTCTCTTCATTTTTGTCTATCTATCTATCTATATTTGCTTTATTCTATCTATCTATTTAATTTTTTCTCTCTACCTATATTTCAGTCTCTTCATTTCTATCTATGTATGCTTCATTCTATCTATTTATCTATGTATGCTTCATTCTATCTATCTATCTATTTAATTCTTTCTCTCTACCTATATTTCAGTCTCTTCATTTCTATCTATCTATCTATCTATCTATCTATGCTTCATTCTATCTATCTATCTATCTATCTATATATATATATATATATATATATATATATATATATATATATATATATGTCATTATGTATGCTTCATTCTATTTATCTATCTATCTCTCTAGGTATGCTTCATTCTATCTATCTATTTAATTCTTTCTCGCTGCCTCTGTTTCAATCTCCTCATTTCTGTATACCTGTCTATCGATCGATCTGTCTTTTTATTCCTATATATCAATCCATATCGAAATCTTCATTTCTTTCTGTCTATCAATCGATCTATCTTCATGTCTTTCTTTCTTTCTTTCTTTCTCTCTATGTATGTTAGTCTCTTCATTTCTCTCTGTAAGTCTACCTATCTCAGTTTCCTAATTTCTTTCTATCCGTTTAGCTATCTCGATTTCATCATGTCTCTCTATGTCTTTTCATTTCTGTCTCTATCTAATTATCAATATATCTATGTTTTTTTTTTCTTTCGGTAATTTCTTTCTATAATTCTTGTTTTTTATGTTTTTTTTTTCTCTATCTAGCTTTTCATTTAATTTCTCTATCAAATCTTTTTTGGGTTTTTCATTTCTCTCTCTCTGTCTTGCTTTTTCAGTTCTCTCTATCTTGTTTCTTTCATTTCTCTCTATCTGTCTTGCTTTTTCAGTTCTCTCTATCTTGTTTCTTTCATTTCTCTCTATCTGTCTTGCTTTTTCAGTTCTCTCTATCTTGTTTCTTTCATTTCTCTCTATCTGTCTTGCTTTTTCAGTTCTCTCTATCTTGTTTCTTTCATTTCTCTCTATCTGTCTTGCTTTTTCAGTTCTCTCTATCTTGTTTCTTTCATTTCTCTCTATCTGTCTTTTTTTCATTTCTCTCTCTTGTTTCTTTCATTTTTCTCATCTGTCTTGCTTTTTCAGTTCTCTCTATCTTGTTTCTTTCATTTCTCTCTATCTGTCTTGCTTTTTCAGTTCTCTCTATCTTGTTTCTTTCATTTCTCTCTATCTGTCTTGCTTTTTTTCAGTTCTCTCTATCTTGTTTTCTTTCATTTCTCTCTATCTGTCTTGCTTTTTCAGTTCTCTCTATCTTGTTTCTTTCATTTCTCTCTATCTGTCTTGCTTTTTCAGTTCTCTCTATCTTGTTTCTTTCATTTCTCTCTATCTGTCTATCTTTTTTCAGTTTCTCTATCTTGTTTCTTTCATTTTTCTATCTTCTCTTTTTCTTCTCTATCTTCTTTTCATTTCTCTCTATCTGTCTTGCTTTTTTTCAGTTCTCTCTATCTTGTTTCTTTCATTTTCTCTATCTGTCTTGCTTTTTTCAGTTCTCTCTATCTTGTTTCTTTCATTTCTTTCTCTATCTGTGTCTTGCTTTTCAGTTCTCTCTATCTTGTTTCTATTTCATTTCTCTCTATCTGTCTTGCTTTTTTTCAGTTCTCTCTATCTTGTTTCTTTCATTTCTCTCTATCTGTCTTGCTTTTTCAGTTCTCTCTATCTTGTTTCTTTCATTTCTCTCTATCTGTCTTGCTTTTTCAGTTCTCTCTATCTTGTTTCTTTCATTTCTCTCTATCTGTCTTGCTTTTTCAGTTCTCTCTATCTTGTTTCTTTCATTTCTCTCTATCTGTCTTGCTTTTTCAGTTCTCTCTATCTTGTTTCTTTCATTTCTCTCTATCTGTCTTGCTTTTTCAGTTCTCTCTATCTTGTTTCTTTCATTTCTCTTGATCTGTCTTGCTTTTTCAGTTCTCTCTATCTTGTTTCTTTCATTTCTCTCTATCTGTCTTCCTTTTTCAATTCTCTCTATCTTGTTTCTTTCATTTCTCTCTATCTGTCTTGCTATTTTTTCAGTTCTCTATCTTGTTTTCTTTCATTTCTCTCTATCTGTCTTCCTTTTTCAGTTCTCTCTATTTTTCTTGTTTCTTTCATTTCATCTCTATCTGTCTATCTGTCTTTTTTCAGTTTCTCTATCTTGTTTCTTTTCATTTCTCTCTATCTGTCTTGCTTTTTCAGTTCTCTCTATCTTGTTTCTTTCATTTCTCTCTATCTGTCTTGCTTTTTCAGTTCTCTCTATCTTGTTTCTTTCAGTGCTCTCTATCTGTCTTGCTTTTTCAGTTCTCTCTATCTTGTTTCTTTTTTCTCTCTATCTGTCTTGCTTTTTCAGTTTCTCTCTATAGTCTTTCAGAAGTTTCTTATCAGTTCTTTCTCAATCTGTCTTGCTTTTTCAGTTCTCTCTATCTTGTTTCTTTCAGTGCTCTCGATCTGTCTTGCTTTTTCAGTTCTCTCTATCTTGTTTCTTTCAGTGCTCTCTATCTGTCTTGCTTTTTCAGTTCTCTCTATTTGTTTCTTTCAGTGCTCTCGATCTGTCTTGCTTTTTCAGTTCTCTCTATCTTGTTTCTTTCATTTCTCTCTATCTGTCTTGCTTTTTCAGTTCTCTCTATCTTGTTTCTTTTCATTTCTCTCTATCTGTCTTCTTTTTTTCAGTTCTCTCTATCTTGTTTCTTTCATTTCTCTCTATCTGTCTTGCTTTTCAGTTCTCTCTATCTTGTTTCTTTCAGTGCTCTCTATCTGTCTTGCTTTTTCAGTTCTCTCTATCTTGTTTCTTTCATTTCTCTCTATCTGTCTTGCTTTTTCAGTTCTCTCTATCTTGTTTCTTTCATTTTCTCTCTATCTGTCTTGCTTTTTTCAGTTTCTCTATCTTGTTTCTTTCATTTCTCTCTATCTGTCTTGCTTTTTTCAGTTCTCTCTATCTTGTTTTCTTTCATTTCTGTCATCTGTCTTGTTTTTTTTGAGATCTATCTTGTTTCTTTCATTTCTCTCTATCTGTCTTGCTTTTTCAGTTCTCTCTATCTTGTTTCTTTCATTCTCTCTATCTGTCTTGCTTTTTCAGTTCTCTCTATCTTGTTCTTTTCTTTTTCTCTCTATCTGTCTTGCTTTTTTCAGTTCTCTCTATCTTGTTTCTTTCATTTCTCTCTATCTGTCTTCTTTTTCAGTTCTCTCTATCTTGTTTTCTTTCATTTCTTTCTATCTGTCTTCTCTTTTTCAGTTCTCTCTATCTTGTTTCTTTCATTTCTCTCTATCTGTCTTGCTTTTCAGTTCTCTCTATCTTGTTCTTTTTTTTCATTTCTCTCTATCTGTCTTGCTTTTCAGTTCTCTCTATCTTGTTTCTTTTCATTTCTCTCTATCTGTCTTGCTTTTTCAGTTCTCTCTATCTTGTTTCTTTCATTTCTCTCTATCTGTCTTGCTTTTTCAGTTCTCTCTATCTGTCTTGCTTTTTCAGTTCTCTCTATCTGTCTTGCTTTTTCATTTCTCTCTATCAGGTTTTCTTTTCAGTTCTCTCTGTTTTTTTTCAGTTCTCTCTATGTTTTTTTCAGTTCTCTCTATCTTGTTTCTTTCATTTCTCTCTATCTGTCTTTTTTTCAGTTCTCTATCTATCTTGATTTTTTTCAGTTCTTTCGATCTATCTTGATTTTTTCATTTCTCTCTATCTTGATTTTCAGTTTTCAGTATCTCTTTTTTTTTCAGTTCTCTCTATGTTTTTTTCAGTTCTCTCTATCTATCGTGTTTTTCAGTTCTCTCTATCTTGATTTTTCAGTTCTTTCGATCTATCTTGATTTTTTCAGTTCTCTCTATCTTGATTTTTCAGTTCTCTCTATCAGTTTTTTTTCAGTTCTCTCTATGTTTTTTTCAGTTCTCTCTATCTATCGTGTTTTTCAGTTCTCTCAATCTTAATTTTCAGTTCTTTCGATCTATCTTGATTTTTTCAGTTCTCTCTATCTTGATTTTTCAGTTCTCTCATATCAGTTTTTTTCAGTTCTCTCTCTATGTTTTTTCAGTTCTCTCTATCTATCGTGTTTTTCAGTTCTCTCAATCTTTTTTTTTCAGTTCTTTCGATCTATCTTGATTTTTTTCAGTTCTCTCTATCTTGATTTTTCAGTTCTCTCTATCAGTTTTTTTCAGTTCTCTCTATCAGTTTTTTTCAGTTCTCTATATCAGTTTTTTTCAGTTCTCTCTGTTTTTTACAGTTCTCTCTCTATTTTTCTCAGTTCTCTCTATCTATCGTGTTTTTCAATTCTCTTTATCTTGATTTTTCAGGTCTCTCTCCCCATATTACTATCTCTCTAGCTAGCTAGCAATTGTATTCTTATCTGTGTGACTATAATCGTTCATATATGTGTATATATCAAATCAAATGATACGGTCTTGTCTTAAAATTGTGACCATTATTATTGTCCCAGAGAAAATGCTTTTTTGTTTTGTTTTTTAGACATTTTCCCAAAAAGCGACAAAACTGAATTTACATACGTCATCATTTTCAAGCTCATTTCATACAAATCTCATTCTTATTTATTTTCAGCTAGTTGATTCCATGAGAAATATTCTTCGCCTCCAAACACATTATTGTAATTAAACATTGCCGACTGCTCATATTATACGAGACAGTATTAGGCCACAAAATCTCGACGAAACACCAGCTCAGCGTTTTGCCGACGTATTAATATCAGACTAATACAGAGATCCCGCCATAATACATGTTCACTAGATGAGAGCATTTAAAACAAAGATGCCGGAGGATATAATTAGTCGTAAGAATGATAAATAGAATCCAGCATTGGTAAGACAGAATCCGGAAACTAGTCAGAAATTCTTCAGGTGAAGCCGAAACATAACAGGCGGCTGCCCGTCGGTATTTAAAAGATACTGGAAAAGCGAAGAAGATTATCCAGCCATAATTAATAGAGAAGCAACAGAGACCAATGTTTAGACGTGTAATGTACGTCGATTCTTAACTTGAAAGTAAGAAAAATAATATTTCTATAAAAAATGCATATTTGTTTATATACAAATGTAAAAATATATTTGTATATATACAACTAGCAGTAGAGTCTGGCGTTGCCCGGGAATGTAAACGTAAGAGATAGATCAAGTATCGACCATCATAAAGACTGAAAAATAAAATTGACAAAGATTATTGTTTAAGGTTGACGGACACGCATGTCTTAATTAGTTTTTTTTTTTTTTTTTTTTTTTTACGAATTGGTCAAACTCAAACAAAAACATTGTTTTCAATCGTTATGAGTCTGCCGATTGAATAGAATTTTATTATAAACACCTGTCTTTTAAATGGAATTTCTAAAGCATTCTGAATGTAGAAATAAAGAAAAAAAGTGTGCATGTCAATAAGAAACACTACCTGCCAAAAACGAAGTGAAGTTTTGTTGAAATCGGTTGAAAAATGCGGAAAATCCGATCCCATATATAAATGAACACACACACACACACACACACACACACACACACACACACACATAAACAAACAACCTGGGTTTTATAATAAGTATAACTCGATATGAGTTGTCCACTGTTCATTCTCGCGATGACTCCTAATCGCGTTTTCGAATTGATTTCGTGCAAAAAAAATTGTGTTTTTCCAATTTTTGGCGCTGTTAGAAACACCGCAAGTAATTTTATGTAGTCCTGTGAAGTTTTGTTGAAATCGGTTGAAAAATGTAGGAAATCTGATCCAGTATATAAACGTACAGACACACACACACAAAACATAACCTGGGTTTTTTATAATAAGTATGATATATATATATATATATATATATATATATATATATATATATGTGTGTGTGTGTGTGTGTGTGTGTGTAGGTATATAAATATATTTATATATATATATGGAATAATATAATAAAAATTATAATAATAATGTAATAATTATATAATATACTTAATATATACATATAATATGCAATATATACAATATATAATAATAATATATATTATACATTATAATAATTTTATAATCTATAATAACTGTATAATAAATAAATATATGTAATATATATAACCTGTATATATACATATATATATACATGCATACATATGCATATATATACATATATATATATATATATACATATATATACACACACACACATATATATATATATATATATATATATGTGTGTATTGTATATAAATTATTTATTTAAAAATATGATTCATTTGCTACATAAGAGTTTTCATGTCACAAAACAAGAGCCGAAACCTTCAATATAATTATTAGAGTTAAATTGAATCAAAGTACTAAGCTCTGCTCCATTTTTGGAAATCAAAAAATTTCGCTTGAACATGGAACACAGCTTGGTGCTTTAATTCAATTTAATTCTAATATTTATATTGAAGTTTTCGGCTCTTGTTTTGAAACATGAGAACTCTTATGTAGCGATGGAATCATATTTTTAAATAAATAAATATATTTAGGCTCTACTTTTGTATTGAGCACTGTTTTTTAAAATAAAACAGAAATATCTAAAGATCGTCGGATTGTTTACCTAACGAGTTCTTTCTTATTTTCTATATATTTTCACACACGTACATATAGACATATATGCAGATATATATATATATATATATATATATATATATATATATATATATATATATATATATATACTGGCCAGTGTAACCTGACGATCTGCTTAGGTGAAACATAGGTAGGTTTGCCTGCTTTTAGTTAGATTTGCTCTAATTAGCGTATTGAGCAATTAGTTACTTTTGCTTTACTCGTTTTGGTGTTTTTTTTTTCTTTGGACTCTGAGCTTGAATTCTGGACGATTGTTTTCGACTCAATTTCATGGTCTTAGTTCGTTCTTTTTTATCCTTATTTTTCCTTGGTTATCGGTTTGTTCATATACAAACCAAAACACCTAATGTTTTTCCTGACGAGTATAATTACTTATATATATATATATATATATATATATATATATATATATATATAGATAGATAGATAGATAGATAGATAGATAGTGTGGAAATTCGATTCATGCATTCAATTCTTTCCGTAACCCGAAAGGTTCGTAAACCGAAGCTATTTTTCCAATATGAATCAGTGTAAGAGGAAAAAAAGATAAACTGAATTAAAATTGGAAACGAAAAGCATAACACAACACACGAATGTATAAAACATGGCGGTCGACTCAGAAATGATGCCATTCACGTTAACTGGGTTCTGAAATGGTCTTCGGGAATCGAAATTTTGTTCGATAACCGAGGCTTTTTTATCTCGAATTTTCTGTTCGACAACCGATTTTTTCCCACATGTTTGACGTTCGAGGAACTGAGGTTATTATATATATATATATATATATATATATATATATATATATATATATATATATATATATATAAATTGCTGAATCATTCATACAAAAACAAATGTAGAGGTCAATGATTTAAATGGCGAGAATACATCTACGCAAACAATATAAATAAGATACATCAACCCCAATATTGTTTTGGAACGTGCGGTCGCAACGCTGAGTTTGAATTTAAATTTTAAGGTTGTGCGTTTTTGTACAAAAGAGAATTCTTTTTTTACTGGTAGATTTTCCGTCTATATGGCATAAAAAAATTGTTCGGTTAGCAAGGTCGATTGTACTGCTTTTAAACTACAATCTTCGATGAATCTCTCACGTACATTTATATCTGTTCAATGCGTATCCAAATGTAAACAGATGACGTCATACATTATAAAAAGAATGTATAAACATAAAAATGTCTGAAAATAATTGTCGGACTTTGTCTATTTCATACTATATATATATATATATATATATATATATATATATATATATATATATATATGACAAAAAATTCTGACCACAAAATACATTTTAGGTTGAAGATTCAACCTCAAAAAATATATTTTTAGGCTTAAAAATTTGAGCTCCAAAATAAAACTTGAAAACTCGACTTTTACGCCGCATTTTAGACGTAGTTTTATTTTTTTATATTTTTTATTACTTATTTCGAAGTTTAAATGATATTACCTATATATGGTACGAATTATTTTAATTTTTTAGCCTTGTACCACATCTAAGCTATTCTTGAAAAATCACCATATATATATATATATATATATATATATATAGTAATATCATTTCTGATTCTAATCTTGCTAGTGATCGCTAACGTGAATACGCCATAGTGTATAACTTTATATCATACATTTTATAATCGTATTTACACCTATATTTACGCAACGTATAAGTCAGTCTCCTGCCTGTTTAAACAAAATGTAGAATACATTACACCTGCTATGTTTTCCCATTATTAAAGTCAGATTAGAACAAAAAGCAAGATAACCGCATTTACCAGCGTTGATACAGTTCAAAATCCTTTACGCAGTATGGTACAAATTTTTTTAGCAATTTTCCAAGCATAGCTTAGATGTGGCACAAGGCCGAAAGAAGTGAGCACCTAATGAGGATCGAACACACTACTCAGTCGTAATTGTACTAGCGAGACAAGCTTGCTAACCATTACGCAACCTCCAGGTACCCTGATGTTTTTCTAAGCATAGCTTAGATGTGGAACAAGATCGAAAGAAGGGGTGTATCAAATAACGCCACACATTATGAACTGGACAAAGTGTGACGTCATTTGTTTACATTTGGATACGCATTGAGCAGATATGAATATACGAGAGAAAATCATTGAGAATTGTAGTTTAAAAACAGTAAAATCGACCTTGCTAACCGAAACGCTCCTCTGTGATTAAATCGGTAAATCACGTCAGGCTATATGACGGTTCCGTATAGGATACAGGTTCGATTCCTGTCGCGGGACACGTATTTTCTATGAAAAATTCTCGGATATTCAGACCGATAAATGTCGTTAATACTGTTTATTATAAACAGAGCATTTACTTAAATATTTGTATCTATAAAAACAACGTACAAACATTAAAAATGTCTTAAAATAATTGTCGGACTTTTGTCCATTTCATATATATATATATATATATATATATATATATATATATATATATATATATATATATATATATATATATATATAAACAGAGCAATTAATTAAATATTTCTATCTATAAAAAATAACATATAAACAATAAATATATTAATATATTTGTCGGAGTTAGTCCATTTGTAAATATATTGTCATTTGTTCACGTTAAGATACGCTTCGAACAGATATGAGAGTTCGAGAGAAATCATGGGTAGTTTGTGGTTCAAAAACTGTAATTTAAACTTGCTAATCAGATACTTCCTCTGTAGCTAAAGGGTATAGCACAACATGGCTATATGTTGGTTCGATTCTTGGTGGAGGATAAATATTTTGTTTGAGATTTTTCGGGCATTCAGGCCGGTAAATGTTGTTAATACTGTTTATTAGAAACAAAGTATTTACTTAAATATTTGTATCTATAAAAATGAATATTAAAATTATATATATATATATATATATATATATATATATATATATATTTATATATATATATATATATATATAGAGAGATACTTTCCGAACACGAAGAGTGGACAGGCAACTCAACTAACACTAATAGGTTTGGCTTCAATACCTATACTTTTTGTCCATACCTAAGCGTTATATTTCAAGCTTCTTTTCTAACAATTTCTTTACGCGCACTTAACATATGTGGAACTCTCTCCCAGCTTGTTGCATTCAAGTCAAATTTGACTTAAAATATGTAAATGCAATGTCAGTCGTTATCTTATGTCTTGGAGTTGAAAATAATATCCGATGTTTAAACTTAACGATGTTTATATGCCGAGAAGCATTTGAAAACTACAAACTATTGAACATTATCTGTTCGCCAAGAAGATGTCCTTCAAGTCTATCAAAATAGTGCGATACAGTGTAACCCGGATATAAGAGACCCGGATATAAGAGACCCGGATATAAGAGAAACCCGGATATAAGAGAGATTTTCTCTGGTACAAAATTAGAGCCTGTGTTAATGTATATAAAATAGACCAAACCCGGATATAAGAGAAACCCGGATATAAGAGACTTCTTCTCAGGTCCCGACAACTCTCTTATATCCGGGTTAAACTGTATATCTAAGATTACTTTGATAAGGTAGTTGCGTCTTCCCGGATTCTAATCTTACTAGCGACCGTCAACGTGAGCTCATCGCAATGTTTCTCATTGCATCATACAGATTTTCGTTCAGCTGCAATCAACTATTTCCCCGATGCCGGACAGATCACACATCTCCAACTATGTCACAACCTTATGTTAACGATTCGCTATTTGACTGAAAGATTTCGCACTTATTGACATAAGAATACATTTGGTTCACTTAATATGTAGAGAGAGTAAAAAATATCTTTCCGGATTTTTTTTTTTTTTCAAATTGCGAATCACGAATAAAAACGATGAATGTGCGTGGCAATATCTTTCCCTAATTTATTGTCCATTTTCTGCTAATGCAACATTAAGATCAAAGCAGTTCCAAGGTGAAAATATAAAGTTGACAACATGTTATGTTAAGTTTCCATAAATAAAATGTTTCTGCAAGATCTATGTCGCGTTGGAGGAAAGGTTCTTACAAGGATATTTTGTTTTCTACTTGTCTGCTCGAAATTCGCTGTGTTTGTGTTAAAATACATGTATTTATCTATCGTCCTTTCCTTTATCTCTCAGTCTGTCTATCTATTAATTTGCTTCTTTATCTATTCGTCTACCTATCTATTGATTCTGATCATTATATATCTGCATAACTTTTGATTCTGATCCTTATCTGTCTATAGCCTGTATATATATTGATTCAGTTCAATATCTATCTATCTATCTATCTATCTATCTATCTATCTATGTTGGTATATTCGTATATATCTGTCTATCTACCGTGGTATCTTCATATCAATCTATATATCTAGCTAGCTATCAACTCTGTTATCTTCAGGTCTATCTATCTACCTTGGTGCCTTCATATCAATCTATCTATCTATCTGTCTCTCTACCGGGGTATCTATCTATCTATCTATCTATCTATCTATCTATCTATCTATCTATCATTATCTATCTATCTATCTATCTATCTATTATCTATTTATTTATTATATCTGTTTTTCAAATCTATCTATCTATCTATCTATCTATCTATCTATCTATCTATCAACCCTGTTTTCATATCTATCTATCTATCTATCTATCTATCTATCTATCTATCTATCAACCCTGTTTTCATATCTATCTATCTATCTATCTATCTATATCATTATATCTATCAACCCTGTTTTCATTATTCATCTATCTATCTATCTATCTATCTATCTATCTATCTATATATATCTATCTATCTAACCCTGTTTTTATTATCTATCTATCTATCTATCTATCTATCTATCTATCTATCTATCTATCTATCTATCTATCTATCTACGTTGGTATTTTCTTATCTATCTATCTATCTCTCTACCGTGGTATCTTCATATGTATGTTTGTCTTTCTATCTACCCTGGTATTTTCATAGGCTTTATTTAAACACACGTGTGTGTTTAAATATGGCCTAATTCATAATTGCTGAAATAATTGCCACTAACGCACGGACATATATATCATTCGGTAAAAGCCTCCATAATAAATGCCCAAAAACAAAACAAAAAATCATAACGCAAGAATAATTAAATAAAATTAACTGAAATACTTTGTCAGCTATTTTTAGTGAGATTGAATAAAACATGGTTTGCTGTCAAAAATTTAAAATTATATATATATATATATATATATATATATATATATATATATATGCACGGAAGGGAAAGTCAGAAATTATCACGATTCTTATCAATACTTTCAAATACTACGAAAGTGTTGATAATTTTTAATTTATATCCATATATATATATATATATATATATATATATATATATATATATATATATATATATATATTATTATATATATATATATCATTTTAATTTATGTGCTTTTTAAGATGTGTGAGATTGATAAACTAGTCCTATTTGTTTTAACCTTATTAGATTATATATATATATATATATATATATATATATATATATATATATATATATATATATATAAATATGTATATATATATATGTGTGTATATATATATATATATAATATGTATATATATATATATATATATATATATATATATATATAGGTGTATGTTCCATTTAAAACGTCAGCGTTGTTAATTGATGGTTTGCATAAAAAGTGCATATATTTGGGACAATTTATTGTCTCAAATTTCAGAATATATGCTATCGACTCCATTCAACCGTGTTCCAATTTATTTTCGATAATCGATATTGGGTAGACGTGTTACCATTGACATACAATAATATATATATATATATATATATATATATATATATATATATATATATATATATGAAGGTTGGTATAAATTATACTGCTGTTGCGGGCAGATTTAATTCTTCATTGAGTGAACCTATACTCAGAGACTACATTTCACATAATTTTGTGCGTAAAATCTTGAACTTCGATTTTTTAAACTCTTGATTTAAACATTTATCAAAAAACCCAATATATATATATATATATGGGGCAGATAGCATAATAACATAATATATTTAAAACTAGTTGATAAAAGCTTGATGTTTTAACTGTAAATATATTTTTTTTAAATTTGTTAAGTATTCATAATTAATTTTATTAGGGATTTGTTTTGAAGAATTTTATTTATTTTTAATTTATATTCAATATATATATATATATATATATATATATATATATATATATATATATATATATATATATGTATGAATATAATTATTTTTTTAAATTTAAACACTACTTATCTACTGAGCACTGTTTTTTTTTTAAAATAAAAACAAAAATATTAAGAACTTCGGAATATTAACCTAACGTGTTCTTTCCTATTTTTCTATATATTTTCACACACACAAACGCGCGCGCACATATACACATATATATGTATATATATATATGCTTGTAAAATATATTCAGATAGGATGTATCTGTAATGGGAAAAAATTAATAAAATCACAAGCGGTAAAACTATTATGAAGGCAATTCAGGATTTTTTTTTTCGATGCGCTTATTTCTATACAAACGACGTTATCATTACTTTATCAAAATCTGTAAATTTGTGAACCGCCATGAATGTCAAAAGTTATGGAGTAGACTAAAATCCAGAATTCTAAATCTAGGAAAAAAGTAAGCGAGTAAGAATAATGAAATATATATATGTATAAAAGTGAATATTGAAGTCAACACTAGATGCAATCGTAGGCTGCCTGACTATTGCATCTAGCATGAAACATCCTGTCCTGTCGCCTCTAAGTGTTGACTTCAATGCTCACTTTTATATTTACACACGCTCTATCTCTGATATTGAGCACGTCATCCCATATAATATAAGACACCTTAAGAGTATATTTTTTCATATATATATATATATATATATATATGTGTGTGTGTGTGTGTGTGTGTGTGTGTGTGTGTGTGTAATAAACAAATATATATATGTATAATTATTTATATATTATATGCGCGGTAATTATTAGAAAGCGCTCAATATCAGAGATAGAGCTAACATATTTGGTTGGATAGATGTGAGTTTATGACCCTGGGTGTAAATATTTTGCGATCGTCAGACAAACTCACATCAATAAAATAAATATAAATATATATATATATATATATATATATATATATATATATATATATATATTATATTTTGATAACCAGACCAGACCAGATTTAATTCCATCCAAAAGTTAAATGGTATAACATTGTCAGGCTATATGGCAGTTCCGTGTAGGCTTCCTATTTTCTATGAAAAGGGGGACATTCAGTACGCGCTAAACGTTGTTAATCTTGTTTATTATAAACAGATATATTTTTTCAATATTATATATCTAAAAATAACGTATAGTTTATATATATATATATATATATATATATATATATATATATATATATATATATATATGCATGCACACACACTTAATATATAAAAGAAAATGTATGTATGTATGTATGTATGTATGTGTGTATACGCATGTGTTTTTGATATATAGCTCCTTGCTAGATTAGATAATCGTTATATTTATTCTTTATATGTTTATATTTGATTTGTAACCTGTAGTCGATATAAAATTTGTCAAATTTTCTCAATTACAAAGCGGCCCTTTCAGTAAATGTCCTTCAATTTTAGTTTTCCCCGCCCCATCTCTCTCCCCCACCTCTTCTTTCCTTTTCTCTCCCTGCCTCTTATTCTGATCTTTAACATTAGATCGTCTATGGTGTGTGTATGTCACCACCAAATGTATCTTTAATGTATTAGACATCCGACAACATTCATATTTCCCCCTTCCACTCACCTCTAGTAAAAAAAAAAATTCTGTCAAGTTTTAATCTCCCACCTTCTCTCGTCTGTTACCCCTCTCTTTAACACTAACATTCGTCCCACACTGTCATACTTACACTCTCTCTAAATTCTATTTTTATTTCCGGAGTTGTTTTTTTTTCTGTTTTCTTTTTGAATTTGTAGGTCTGATAAATTGGATCGTATTTACGATTCAAACGGAATAAATTATGACCATAGAATATTAGTGTTTAAGCCTTTTTATTATATCCTTATATATCTGTCCATGGACATTGAGTTCTACCTGGATTCTATCCTCTTGGAATTTTTTATTCAAAAAAATATACATGTATGTGTATGCAACTATGTATATATATTTATATATTTTTTATATATGTATGTATATTTACCACTAATATTATCTGTATATATCTAATATATATATATATATATATATATATATATATATATATATATATATATATATATATATATATATATATATATATATATATATATATATATATATAGAATATGTTTGAGTGCCAAACCTCATTATAACAGTAAAAATTATTTATTATTCAAACAAAGTTTCTTCTAAATCGCATCTTTGTTAAACTTAGAAAAATTTTAAAAAAATCTATATAGAGCAACAACGTTCACCTCTGAAGTCACAAGATTATTTTAAGAGTAATCGAGAATCATTATCCCTTTTGATGAAGGTTAATGAAAAGCATCAGAATTCATTATGGGTGCAACGTAGCGAAAAAGCGGAATGTGAAAATAATTAAAGGTATCATTCTTTTGTTGAGATTAATCGAAATCGTTTGAGACGGATGATTGATTGTTACGACGCAAATAGAAAGTGGGAAAATGTACGGGATTCATACTTGCTCGATAGCTTTTCCTTTGCTAGTAAAAAACATTGTCGGATATATACGGAAATGACCGAAAGGGGAATGGTAGGAAAGAGAGAGAGAAAGAGAGAGAGAGAGGGGGGTGAGAGAAAAAGAAAGAGAGAACTGAATAAAGAAATTAGCAAGAAATAAACAAGAAGTAAAAAGTCTAAAAGCACTATATCGATAATTCTTTTTAATATTTGATATAAGCATGACTGTTAGACCATCATGTTAGGCCAAGAACCGGATATACCCTACATCCGTTTTGTTCTCGCTTGGTCTCAAAAATCCCTCATTCAATACTTCCCCATTCTTTTTCGGTGACTCTTAGAAGACGAGCCTTCACAAATATGCGACTGCTGGCTATAAAACAGAAACAGTACACCTCGGGATAAAACCACATCTTTCACTTCTACATCATGAACAAAAATGTAAGGTCCACGTATTAGACAAATATGGCGATAAAGATAAGGACAATAGTCCGAATAATGTAAATAAAGAGCATTTATACTTGTTTATATAAACAGTCAGAGAAAAAAAGAATTTGGGCAGTATCTCGTATATCATGAACGAAAATGTAAGGTCCACGTATTAGACAAATATGGCGATAAAGATAAAGACAATAGTCCGAATAATGTAAATAAAGAGCATTTATACTTGTTTATATAAACAGTCAGAGAAAAAAAGAATTTGGGCAGTATTCATGTACATCATGAACCAAAATGTAAGTTAAATGTATTAGACAAATATGGCGATAAAGATAAGGACAATAGTCCGAATAATAAATAAATAAAGAGCATTTATACTTGTTTATATAAACAGTCGCAAAAAAAAAAAAAAAAAAATTGGGCAGTATCTCGTACATCATGACCAAAAATGTAAGGTCCACGTATTAGACAAGCAGTGCCTCAGAATGATGGCTGAATTCAGGAGTTCAATAAAATGAAATAAACTATTAAGAGAGTTTGAGGTTTTGTGGTAACCATTAGTCGGACGTCGCCTAACATTTGTGCCCCTGTATTTGATGTGGTCTTTGAATGATAAATCTAAGAGACATGTGCTTATTCGAGTTTGTTACATTCACTTGCGCGCCAATACACTAGGAAAGTTATGAATGCGCTCTCCTCTAGCTATGGGTTAAATAGTTGAACTTTTATAATAAAAAAATAATTGTTTTTCTAAAAAGATAGTTAATGAAAGATTTACTTGCAAAAAAAAATATTCTTAAAATCCGTTAAACATTTTGGCTTTAAATAGGCCAGAAAAAGGTTGATAACACGTTAAAAAGAAATTGATTAATCGATCAATCAAATTAGAGGCACTTCAACTTCATTACATTTTGTTTAGAACTGCAATGCAACCAAGTGATTTCCTCGAAGGTAGGAAGTGTTATTTTATGTGAATGACACCAAGTTGTGGAGGACAAATTATATATCACACTGCGTCGTCTGCGATTAAACCAGACGGAAAAAAAGAGAATTGCTTTACTGAGAGACATTATTTTTTTTCCTACGTATCAAATGACCCCCGAATAAAAAGTCTGTCGTTGGCAAAATTCTTTATATGGAAACCTTTGATTTGAAAATAGCTCTTAATTTCGATGAGACTAGTTTTTCTTGAAGTAATGTGTTTGCCAGACAGCAGTGCCAATCGCAACTATAGAGAGTTTAGAGTGTCATCATGACAGTTTGCCGAATAAGCTGCCTTCGAGAAAGGAAATAAGGAAGAAGAAAGAAAAAAAGATAGAATAGAGAAAAACAGAGATATGCCAGACAGAATGAAAAGGACCAAGACAGGGTCACAACCTACGCGGGTAGAATTGTCACACTTATCAAGGGCGGTGTAATAAAAAGTATTTTTTTCTGACTTTAACGTTTCTTCGTTTCTAATTCGTCACTTACGGACAGAATGTTCAGAAGTAAGCTTGAATATTAAATCAATTCTCTATTGAGAAGCAAATCAAATCATGGCGTCTGTTTTTTCTCTGTGAATACAGGTAGAAAATTGCGTGAATGTATCTACACCTTATTGCGGGGCTTATACAAAATCTACAAGGCTTAGGACCACATCATAGAGAAACACCAGTTCCCGTACGAAGTTAAGCAACGTCAGTAACTAGATGGGTAACCGTTCGGTAATATCAGACGCCATAAGGTTTTTTGGGGGTTTCAAATTAATCCTTCTAATAAAAAGGGGCTCCTAATAAAATAAAAAATAAATATAATAATCATAACAATATCAAAGAAAAATGAAGGGATTTTAAATAAATAATAATAAAAAGAAAACAATAAGAATTAAAAATACAGAATTAAAAGAAAATTAAAAATTAAAAAAATAAAGTTGATGTGTGGTTAAAAATACTAAAGATCTTAATTTAGAATTATAGATATTTTATCATCGGAGAGACAATCATAGATCCAACTACATATAATGAAACACAAAATCACGTGATGCACAATATAATCACACACAATATATATATATATATATATATATATATATATATATATATATATATATATATATATATATATGAAATATAGATATATAAAAAAAAAAAAAAAAATCTTAATATGCAATTATGCTGTATTAATGTTAATATATAAGAATCTATTGATCAAGTAAGGAAAGGATTTATTATCGAACTGTTTTTAAAATTGTTCCATCGTTCTGATATTTTGAAATCATTTTTGATTTGCTTTGTAAATTGGAGGACTTCAAGGTTGTATGAAGATATAAGAACCTATTGATCTCTGCGTATTCCTATATCAACGGGAGGGATTTCTTGAACTGTTTATATAAAATAGTTCAATCGACTTTTTTAATATTTTAATATTTGGAAATCATCTTCGAATACGTTTTGACAACATCACCCACGTGACGACGACGTGATCATATTTAAACGGAACGCTGATCTTATAAAAATTTCAGTTATCTGTTTGGATTAGTTCTTGCTCTTATGTCCATCGTCTTTTCGTGTTGAATTTTTTATAAGTTCTAATGTTAATTATGTTTTTAAATGAAAATGTCCTGAAGATGGTCTAAAATAGACCGAAACGTCCGACGTTGACTTTATATTAACATTAATACAGCATAATTGCATATTAAGATTTTTGTTTGTTTTTTCTGTATATTTTTCTTCATACTATCGGATCTATATCCATATATTTATTTTATATATATATATATATATATATATATATATATATATATATATATATATATAATGAAATGGACAAAGTCCGACAATTATATATATATATATATATATATATATATATATATATATATATATATATATATATGGTGGACTCCTTTGTCGAATTCGACGTATGAGGGTCAAGCAGATTCCCAGGAAACCGACAGCCTGACAACAGGACATGAGATTTGATTATAGTGGTGACGGTTTCGTGCAGGACCATCCACCACACTTTTTGAAGGGCCGAATACAGAGACCTGGCGCACTACGTGTCACAGGGACCCCAAACGACCCACCTCAGGTTTGGAATTGACAGTTGTCCTTCTCCTAGACTAGTTGCCATCCAAGGCTACAGAACCCAGTTTATACTGCTATTTACCCATAGCTGGAGGGAGAAGAAGAGGATTCATACCTTTCCCAAAGGTATTAGCACGTAAGTAAATGTAATGGGTCCAAGCCGCTATCCATTACTCCACCGTGCCACAGAATATATGCGTTATAGTTTACATTGGGTTCTCTCTAGATTAATGTCTTCCTTGGAATTATCTTTACCAGACACGAATTGGTAATATGATTTGAAGTTTTTTATACATCAGGTATATCATGCGTTAAAAGATACCATTTTTCTGCCATGCGCCGATAGCTTAGGGGTAGAGTCACTGACTGATGACAAATCTGTTGAGTTTTGATTCCGGCTTGAAGTCACACTGATGAGCTGTGATACAGCGAAATAGGCTTGCATGTGGATGTATCTATCTATCTATCTATCTATCTATCTATCTATCTATCTATCTATCTATATATATATATATATATATATGGTACACATATATATATTAATGCATGCTATATTATGGGTAAAAGTAATCAATATAAGACATAGAGCGTATGTAAATATAAAATTGGACATTGTGATCGACACCAAGAGGCGACACTGTTTTATTCTTGGCCGCAAACTTAAGGCCATTTTTTAATACATAAAACGGTATCACGAAATGTACCATTTCTTTTTTTTTTGTTTGTTTTATTAACAATTGGAAGAAGGGACGTCACAGAAACGAATGTCGCACGTTGGATCCGTTGGATATATATATGTGTGTGTGTGTGTATGTGTGTATGTATGTATTGTGAGGAAGTAAATGGCTAAGTAATAACAAAAACCAGATATATCGTATATTAAACAGTAAGTACACCAGAAGAGTATTAACCGACTAGTGAGATTCTATCGAATGAACCAGCGCTTAATCTGTTTACATTCACGCGTAAGCCTTCTCTCCTACTAATCTTATAGTAGGTGGAAGAGGAAGGACATCGAAAGAGTATGTAGGTTCCTTTATATATATTTATAAATATATATTTGTATATTATAAGAAAATAGTTTTAACATGTGCTATATTAACGGATAATAGTGTCCAATGCCAATGATAAAGCATATGTAAATATAAAAGTGGACACGAGAGTCACTTCCGAGTAAGGACTAACTGCGCAATCTACAGGCGAATCCGTTGTGTGTTGTTTCAAATATTTATATATGCTGGTTTGTGGAGCATTATGTACGTAAGGTCATATATTTCCGTTTTATTGTATTATCTCATGCGTTATTAGGTTAGTAGTGTTATTAGGTTAACAGTAACTAAACGATATTCAGAAGGGGTAATTTGGTGTCCAAATGCAGCTATTTGTAACTAATGCATTTTTTATAATTTTTATTACACCTCAAGGCACTTGTAATAAAAATTCTTCCCAGTCTCAATTTCGATATTTTCAAATCGTTACCTTTGCTGTTGGAATGTCTGGTGATATCAATATGTCTAATGTATTTGTCTTGCTTTCTTAAGAAAGGTAATAGATGAAGTTGTCTTTGATCTGAATATACTGCATATAAAATGGAAAATGTCACACTAAAATCCGACGAGAGAATAAC